TCGCACCCAGAGTCATGGTGGATGGGTCGGTTTCGACCTGGAAGGGTGTGGGCAGTGGGGTCCCGCAGGGCTCGGTCCTTGGACTGATACTCTTTAATGTCTTCATCAGCGACTTGGACGAGGGAGTGAAGTGTACTCTGTCCAAGTTTGCAGATGACACAAAACTGTGGGGAGAAGTGGACACGCCAGAGGGCAGGGAACAGCTGCAAGCAGACCTGGACAGGTTGGACAAGTGGGCAGAAAACAACAGAATGCAGTTCAACAAGGAAAAATGCAAAGTGCTGCACCTAGGGAGGAAAAATGTCCAGCACACCTACTGCCTAGGAAATGACCGGCTGGGGGGGATGCAAGTGGAAAGGGATCTTGGAGTCCTAGTGGATCAAAGTGAAAACGGGCATAACTGTAAGCCGTGCTCAGGAGCTGGGTGCTGGTTGCGGCCCTGGCTGAGGACTGCAACTGGGCTGTGCCAATGCTCCTGCTGGGACTTCAGAGCCAGAGGTTCCTGGCTAGGGGGTCTGGCCCCTACACTTGGGGTCCAACCCATTGCCAGGTTTGAGGTCAGGAAGGAATGCTACCCTGTGGTTAGATTGGTCTGGACTGAGGGAGGTTTTGCCTTTTTCTGTAGCATGTGTGGCCTTTCCCTGGGATCTCTTGAGCATATGCTGAAAACACTTTATAGAAGCAGGACGGATGCGGCTCCCTTTCATTACCTGTGAGGGTGCTACATCTGTGTTTTGTCAGGGTTGATGGTAGTCATAGGCCAAGTTCAGATGATGATTTTTATGGGATTGCTTTGGACTGTGTAAGCACCACTGATCACAATGCTTAGGGATCATTAACGCTCAGTTAACCCTTAAATGGAATGTGAACAGAGACAACTCAGTGTCCTAAAATGAATGTCTAACTTTATAAGTGCAACAAATTTTATCTTAACAGTTTCTATACACAGAGAGAAAAACATTTAGTACAGTGATCTCACCCAATCCCAGATGTTACTTTGCTTAACAGAAAAGGCAGCCACTCAGTTCCTGAAAGCAAAGAGTGAGTCGTTGGCTGGGACAGTCCAGACAGGTATTGAAGGCTGAATTTATGACAGTGATGACACACTTAACTTTCTTGCTGTCCCCTTCTATGCTTTTCTCTAACTTCACTCCTTTGATGAATCCTTGCTTTCAGATTGGTTTCTCTGCAGTCAGTATACTGTCCATATTTTATCCTGTCAGCGTATTACTTTGTTCAACAGACCCATCACAAGTACACCTCTTAATTTGGCCTTTTTCCAGTGTTTTGGGCATTGTCCATTGGTCTCCCTTATCACTTTTCATCAACATATCCAATCATTTCATCCCTGTGATTCAGCTGCTCAGTGCCAAATTCAGTTAATCTGAGCTGGTAATAAGGCCATAACTATGTTACATTAGAAGAACTTCTCATAGTGATAAAAAAGAAAAGATATAATGAGCACTGTGAGCTCTACAAAAATAACTCAAGGCCAGCTGATAAACAAAATGAAAAGATAATGATACTATACAAAACTTAAACAATGATTAAATAAGGTTGAATATATTTAAAAAAAAAAAAAAAAGTTTAAACAATATTTATAATTCACCACCCTATAAGCAGGTGCAAGTTTAAAGCATAAAATATGACAAGCTACCCTAACAACACGATGAACCTTCCTCAGGCAGGGGGCAGACTAGATGACCTCTGAAGGTCCCTACTTCTCTGTGATTCTTTAGGATTCATTGAAATGAGTTGTGAAATAGGAGTTACCAGGAGCAGCTGACAGACAATGCAGAACAAAGGCTGGCTTGATTGGAGCAACACCAACACAGTTAAATTGAGAGGGCCATTAACACCTGTGGAATAAAGAGTTCTAAAAGATACTCACCACTACATAACCCTTGTATATCTAGTACACCCTCCCCCACCCCAAGCTTGGTGTCATCTGCAAACTTGCTGAGGGTTCACTCACTTCAGATCACACTGGGCTTATCTTCCAGATTGTTGGTGAACATACTACACAAAACCGGTCCCAGGATTGACCCCCAGGATTGATGGTCTTGATAGCAGCTGCCGACTAGACATTGAGCTGGGAATTGCTACCCTTTCAGTCCATCAACCAAGCCAGTTGTCTGTCCACCTTACAGGCCATTCACCCAACCTGTACTTCCCTAGCTTGCTTGGGAGATCGCATCAAAAGCCCTGTAAAGTCTCAAGGTATATCATGTCCACTGCTCTCCACATCCACAGAGCCATTCATCTCATCATTGAAGGCAATCAGGTTGTTGGTCAGGCATGACTCACGCTTGGTGAATCCATGCTGACTGTTCCTAATCTTTTTCTCATCCAAGTGCTTACAAATGGATTCCTTGAGGATCTGCTCCATGATTTTTCCAGGGACTGAGGTGAAGCTGTAGTTCCCTGGATCTTCCTTCCCTTTCTTAAAGATAGGCACTATATTTGCCCTTTTCCAGTGATCCGGAGCCTCTTCCCAACTGCAACGAATATTCAAAGATAATGGTCAGAGGCTCAGCAGTTGTAATGGCGAACTCCCTCAGCACCCTCGCAAGCATCGCGTCGAACCCCATGGACTTGTACACATCCAACTTTTCTAAATAGTCCCTAACCTGTTCTTTTGTCACTGTTGGCTGCCTACCTTCTCAAGCTGTGCTGCCAGGTGCAGTAGTCTGGGAGCTTATTTCACCTGTGAATAGCAAGGTGCAAAAGACATTGAGTACATCAGCCTTTGCATCTTCTTTCACTAGGTTGTCTCTCCCATTCAGTAAGGGACCCACACTTTTCCTGATCTTCCTCTTTTTGCTGATATGCTTGTTGAAGCTCTTCTTGTTGTCCTTCTTATCCCCTGCTAGTTGTAACTCCAACTGCGCATTGGCCTTTGATTTAATCCTGGAATGCCCAAGGAATACTTCTGTACTCCTCCCTAGTCATTTGTGCAAAGTTCCACTTTGCTAGTCTTGCTAGTATTCACGTGCATTGGGACAGCTTGTTCCTGCGCCCTCAGTAAGGTTTCTTTAAAGTACAGCCAGCTCTCTGGACTCCTTTACCCTTCAGATGGGCCTCCTAGGGGGTTCTGCCCTTCAGTTCCCTGAGTGAGTTGCAAGTCTGCTTTTCTGTTCCAATGTCCTTACTCTGCTGTTCTCCTTCCTTTCCTCAGGATCCTCAACTCAATCATCTTGTGGTTGCTGCTGCCCAAGTTGCCATCTACTACATTCCCCACCAATTCTTCCCTGATTGTGAGCAGCAGGTCAAGAAGAGCACAGTCCCTAGTTGGCCTCTCCAACACTTGTATCAGGACGTTGTCCCCAGTACTCTCCGAAAACTTCCTGGATTGCCTGTGCACTGCTATGTTGCCTTTCCAGCAGCCATCAGGTTGACTGAAGTCCCCCATGAGAACTAGGGCCTGTGGTCAGGAAACTGCTGCTAGTTTTTCGAAGAAAGCCTCATCTACTTCCACCTTCTAGTCCAGTGGCCTAAAGTAGATGCCCACCATGATATCTCCCTTGTTGCTCCCCGCTCTGACTCTAACCCAGAGACTTTCAGCAGGCCTGTCTCCAGTTTCATATTGGAGTTCTGAGCATTTTTTATATCCAGTGCAACTCCTCCTCCTCTTCTCATGTTGCCTATCATTCCTGAACAGTTTATGTCCATCTATGACAGTGCTCTAGTCCTGCAAGCTATCCTGTCAAGTCTCTGTTGTTCCAATCATGTCATAGTTTCGTGACTGTGTGAGAACTTCTGATTCTTCCTGCTTGTTTCCCAGGCTCTGTGCATTTGTGTGCAGACACCTAAGCTGCCTAGCTGATTGCCCTACTTTTTCAGGAAGAAAGAGAAGGCCTCCCCTGTTGTGCCCTCCTGCTTGTGCTTCCTCCCAAGTCACTCACTTCCCTACTTACCTCAGGGCTTTGGTCTCCATCCCCCAGTGAACCTAGTTTTAAAGCCCTCCTAAGTTAGGGAGCCTGTCTGCAAAGGTGCTCTTCCATCTCTTTGTCAGGTGGATCCTGTCTCTTCCAACATCTCATGGTCGAGGAAGCAAAAGCCCTGCTGGCAATGCTGTCCACACAGCCATGCATTTGCTCCTGCCCTTGAACAAAAGGATTGAGGAGAACACTGCCTGAGCCCCTGTCTCCTTCACCCATTGTCCCAGAGCCCTGTAGTCACTTTTGATCTGCTCAGGGCACCCCTGACAGTATCATTTGTGCCCACATGAACGAGCAGCATTGATGAACACTCAGAAGGCCGGATGAGTCTCAGTAATCCTTCCGTGACATCTGAAGTCTGGGCTCCAGGCAAGCAGCAGACCTCCTGTGACAAGGGGTCAAGCTGGAAGTTGGATGCCTCCATCCCCTGCAGAAAGGGAGTTTCCAGCAACCATCACCACCTGTTGCTCCCTCTTGGTGGCAGTGATCTTAATTCTCCCAACCTTGGCAATGCCTGGGCTGGTTTCTTCTACCAATGGAATGTGCTGCTCCTCCTCTGTTGCTAAGGCTCCATATCTGTTTTCCAGGAAAGCCACTGCAGGTGGAGATATGAAGACTTCTGCTTGCTGCCAGCGTTCACAAACTTCCGCCTTTCTGGGAATCCGTGTACTCTTCTTTCTCTAGCACTGCCTCTGACAGTCCAGGTGTCCTCCAGCCAGGTTTTGAATCAATCAAGTCCTTATGATGGAGGATGTTTTGGAGCCTTGCCACCTCCTCCTATGGCTCTCTTGTCTGCTCCCTGAGGGATACCACCAGGAGGCACATCTGGCATCGCAGGCACTTCCCCCCCACCCTCCCTGGCTGTCACTGTAAAGAACCTGCAAGCTGGAGTCTCCACAATGTCAAGCCTGGACCTAGGTGGAAGCCTGGAAGCTTGGTAGCACCAAGGTTTTCCCCTTCCTGGTAGGCATCAGAGTACATCAGTAAATTTTTTTTTTTTCTTTTATAGCAGGTATTGTGGCCCACAGCAGGAGATAGAATACAGGGACAGCTGTACAGGATAGCAAGTTCCTTCTAATTTCAAAGGTGTGGAGCAAGGTCCGTTCCCAGGATATACATGGAGCTAGAAGTGATGCTGGCCACTGACTGGGGACTCTGCAGCTGACCTTCCATCTGGCAGGCAGCAAGAGTAGGGGTGAACATCTGCAGAGTAGTAGTGTGTAGACAGAGCAACAGACGAGCGTGAGCTGGACCAGAAAGCATTTAATTTATCATCTCCTACATCACACCCTGTCACTGAATATGGAGCAGTCTAGGTTAGAGGTGACCCATATGCGTAGCTCAGCAAAGCGGCAAAGTAGTAGTGGACTAATCAGCTAAACCAAACTCGGGTTTTGGATAAAATATTCTGAGTACATTTGAAACTGGTGTGCCCTCACCCATTTGCAAGGCTAAAGTTGTCACTGACTGGGTAAAGCTAACTCAGGCTCAGGTACGTATGATCTGTCTGTAGTTTTGTATGCTGGCTACTTCTCATAATTTAGACATTTGATTGTACCATATCCATGGAATCATGTGGTGTGAGGAGGAGCGGAGAAAGGAGGATACACCTGTCAAGTGTATTCAGGTAACCTGGCTTTGTCCTTGGACAAACTAGTATTACTACAAGAAACAAATTAATTTGGGGCTCCCTTATGCCTTCTGAAGATGCATCTTGAAAACCCTCTCTTCTGCTGGAAACTACGAGCACAGCTTGGTGGAAGAGTGGGAGTGGATGGGAGGGAGTAGGCAAGGACATTGCTTTTTTGAATGCAGGAAGTTAATGAGGGTTGGGAGGTTGGGAAACGAGGCTGGGTTGGATGGTGGAAGGAGTAAGAAAATGTCTTTGGAGGCACTTGGTGTTTCCCTGTTCTGTTACAACCAGTGGAGAGCCTGATATATTGCTATTTAATGCAAGGTTGATGGTTAACACAGTATTTTCTCCCATACAACATGCCCCCAAATAAGATACACAACTTGGTTTTGAAAAGCAAAATGGAGGAAAAAAGATCTTTCCTTGTTCCTGCAGTGGGAGCCTCTGCGGGAAGGGACAAATGGGTGAAAAGGGAGTTGTCCACAGAGCAGCTAGGAAGCCCTATTTGCAGCATGGCTGCATTACTTTTGCTCCTCCCACCCTAAGGAAACTATTACAATGTTTCCTTGCTTATGATGTGCTGGCCAATTTCCAGCAGCAGTTTGCGACCACTTTTCTAGACAAAATCATCCATATTTGGCAAGGCTTGGGAACCTCCAGAGCAGTTGCAGAATCAGAGTTGGGGGTAGAGAAGCCTGGTCTGGTCCCATTTATATTGACTGGATTAAATTGCTTGTGGCCTGGGCAAACAATCTGCAGATCAATGGCAGAAAGTGTAGTGTTGATCTTCCTAGATTTTTTAGCACTCTGCAGTTGACCATGAGGTGCTGATAGCATGCTTATAGGACCAGGTGAGTATTTGTAGAACCACTCTTATCTGGTTCCACTCCTTCCTAGCAGGATGGTCCCAGAGTGTGGTGACAGCTGAGTGCTCACCCTGGCCTCAACCTTTCCTATGAGGTGTTCTTCCAGGGTTCCATCTTATCTCCTACTTGTGTATCTGAGGTCACTGGATGAGACTGTGCAGAGATCTCAAGTACTGATGCCCCCCCCCCCCCCTCTTCTTTTTCACATCAGCCAGGCCCAGCAGTCTTGGTTCTTACCTAGTGCCCGCCTACAACTGAGGACTGGATGTAGGTAAAACAATGAAAGCTGAACCAAGAGAGGACAAAAATGTGATGGTGGTTTACACCCCAGGGAATTACGCAATTACGTGCCCATGTAATTTTGCGTGTAAAACGTATGACTGTGCGTAATAACATAATATTGCATAATTCCCTGGAGTGTCGCTGGAGAGTGCGAAGGGGAGCTCCTGCCTGCAGGAGAGGGGTGTCTGGGTGTGGGTGTGGCCCCCTGCCCCACATCCCATGGTGCAGAGCCCCCATTGCTGGTGGTGGCACCTGGTGGTAAACCCTGGGCCCCTTCCTAACTGGGACAGGCAGAGCCCCCAGTGGCATATGGATGTAGCTGAGTACCTGCAGCTGCATGTGGTTCCCACCTGCAGTGCCATGAGCCCCACATGCTTGCACAGAGCAAGTGTAGTCTGGCCTAAAGGCACCTGCAGGCTGACCCAGGCTGAGTCTGTGCTGCCACGTGCAGCACCCAGAATTTGTGCCCCACTGAGGGCTGTGCCTGCTACAGACAGGACCACCTAGAGGGCCTGCTGGCAGCAGGGGCTGTGCCAGAGAGGTGTGTGGTGATGGGGGGGGCTGTGTGCAGGGAGGGGAAGGGGGGCATATGGGGGTGTGGCAGCAGGCAGCCCACACCCCCAGCACCCCTTCACAATCTCCCCACACCCACATCTCACAACACATTCACAACCCTGCCCCTCGCATGCTTACCCAAACTCCTACCTCTCAATCAGACCCTCCCCACACACACACAAGTACCTCCATATATTTCTAAAGAAGGTTCAATTAGTGTTACATAGAGCTTACTTTGTAAAAAAATAATAATAATAATTTTGCATAACTTTGAATTTCTCTGCGCAGAATTCCCTGGGGTGTAGTGGTTGGTAGCCGTGACTTGGGGTGGGGGCAAAGGAAACCTACGGCTGGGGGTGATCCGCCGCCCTTTGTCGCTCAGGGCTGCAGCCTGAATCCAGTGCCGCACACGGCTGTGCAGACGGTGCTGAATAACAACGCTTTCCATCGGCGACCTGGGACCCCCGGCCGCAGCGCGGGTCCTACATGTGCACGGACCTGCCAACATCAGCGACTACAGACGCGGAACAGCCCAGCCGCCTTCTGTTGTCACAGCCGTGGTCGGTGCGAGGTGGGTGTTGATTGGCCAGGGATGTAGCAAGAGAAGAGACGGAAGCGCTTATTGGCTGGCGGCGGGGGGAGGTGGCTGGCCCGGAGCTGCCTCCATGTGCCGAG